GTCATTCGAACACTGAACAGGGGAATAGTTCATGCATTCATTTACACTGTCATAGTCACTCACTAAATATTGAATGCAGTGATACTGTCAACTTGTCAAGCTGCAAGCAAGTCCCACTCCTAAAAGAAACATTCGATATTGCAAGATTAAATTTATCAGCAAATCACCAAAGGACATTGCTCACATGACGTTGCTACGCAATAAATCTGAGGATTCTTATGCAGGAATCTGTCCTACACGATGAGCTGTCAAGCTATGGAATGCATTCTCAACAACTACTCAGAGTTCTAGATACTGTTGAGAGACCGGGATTTGATAAAGGATAGCGAGCAGATAATTAAAGCCATTGATTTAAAGTCCAGCCGTAATAAATTCCGGTTATACTTGTCTGGCTGCAAGCTAAGTGCCACTATAATGTAATAATGAAACAAATGGAGTATGGACTGAGTACAGACACTGCAGGATCCCGAATTATCTGCACTTGATCAAACAACATCGCTATGATTTCCGTAATTTGAAAACCCTCCAAAAATATATAGGAGTAATATGTCCTTTACACTCTTTTTAAAATTAAGGCGGGAATTAGGACGAACACCGATGCAACATTAAGACAACAATAAAACAACATTAAGACAACATTAACGCAACCAACACCAATAAGACAACAAACGATAAGACAACATTTAGACAACATTAAGACAACATTAAGGCAACATTGAAGCAACAAATTCGTTTAAGACATCAGTAACAAACTTAGTAAGGCAACAAATTATGTATAACACTATTTCTTCGAATATATTAATTTACTTTGTCACATTATATTTTACTTCATCAACTGAGTTAGAGTAATACGAAATTGTGACTAAAACTCTGAAAATTAAATAATCATTATGCTGGCAAGCATTACCGTTGCCCTTATATTCACAACACTATTTACCCCCTATACTATTATATCCCCTTTATTGTTTTCCAGGCATTAAGACTCATCGAAAGTAGTTCAGCAGGTATATTTAAGTAAAAAACATTCTAATTCAATGTTAAAGATGACAGGAATAAGAAATAGTTATGTGGAGGTTTTTAAGAAATTTGTGCAAAATACGCGCCAGCATGTTATACGAAATTAGGTAAAAAACCCAAAATCGCCATATTCAGGTGCCTTAAAAACCATGTTAAAATTGAGTTAGAGATCTGAAAGTGAAACTTTGCAGGGCGTCTAGACCTCGTCCAAATCGACTGTAAAAAAAGTTTCATGTTTCAGGAGTATCGGGAAATGAGTTTTCTGGAACCCCTGTTTTACAACAGATTGTCGTGAAGGATATATATATATATAATATATAATAATATATAATATGTATGTATGTATAAACGCTTTGGCAGTCAATTGTAGCCTACATTTAAGTGTCCGTAGATTCAAAAGTATAAACGATACAGTCATTTCGAACCACAGGTTTTCTGGTTTTAAAGATAATTGTTTATACATTAGTTTACATTATATCGAAAAATAATTTATCGTCATCATCATCACTTGATGACGTCATCAATTTAAGTGTTTTTAAAACTTGATTTTTGACAAAATAACAACTTTTCAAATCAATTTTACACCATTAAAAAGTAATTGTATTCAAAATCTGAGGACATTTTCACCTTAGATGATTGTTCAAGCATTCTGAAAATCTACCGGAAAAGTTTCCTACCTTACTCCTTCATAAAGATATTCGCTATTGAAGTTAGTGCTTTTTTGAAGAATAATTTTATAAAAACACAAAAGTTGTGAATTAGTATTCTCTGGTGTTGGGCTATCTCTTGGGTTGTGGAGCTCAATTTTGCTTCCTAAAAGTCTAAATTGTGTTATAGGCTAATTTTAAAGTTAAAAATCAAAAAGTTGCACACGTGGGGACACGCCCAAATTGATTTAAAATAGCTAAAATCACTGAAAATTGTTATTTTCACGATTTTTATCAACTTTGGAGTCCCGTTGTGATTCAAGTTATTTTTGAAATCTTCTGAAACTTTGCGTGCTTGTCAAACTATATATTAAATACCACTATACAAAAATTTACGGTGATTAAATATTGTATACGCACGCAACGTCCGCTCAAAGTTTGCACGTGCGAAAGGCGAGAATTTTGCTCATTCGTGATTTCGAATATATTCTGCTTTCCCACGATATTTAAATGGCACTATATATGAATTAAATGCCAACTTGAATGAGTAAAAGTGCCATATTCAGTCTTTTATCGATAGATATACCTACCTAAACACAAGAAAATGTTTTCAAAGGTAAAATTTCGAAATCGTTGAAATTACCTCCTTATAGTTATTCATGAAGTTTTAACTGTGTAAATTATACTGACATTATAATCAAAAAGAGATGATATTTGACCAAAACCCATAATCATGTGTAGAGTGAACCGCTGCCAGTGTCTCTCTTTTCCAAACAAAAGGAAATGATATTAATTTGAGGAACCGTCCGCAAATGCAAATTGATACCGAGAATGAAATCGGTCGCTCGCTTTTCCCATTCAATAAGCTTTATTACAATTCGTAAGCCGTGAATGAATGGGAAAAGCGAGCGACCGATTTCATTCTCGGTATCAATTTGCATTTGCGGACGGTTCCTCAAATTAATATCATTTCCTTTTGTTTGGAAAAGAGAGACACTGGCAGCGGTTCACTCTACCCATGATTATGGGTTTTGGTCAAATTAGGTATCATTAATCATTATTTATCAGGTAATACAAATTTACAGAGCAATAAATTAATCAAATATTCTTCTGAATAGGGCTGGGATATCTTGGTTGAAGGCTTTCCTCACGGAGGCGTCCTCTCTTGTCAGTCCGTATCGCTTACACCACATAAATTCTGACAGAGCTACAGTCATGGCTGCTGAATCCGTTCGGGTACGACCGGTTCCTCTTCTCATGTGGTTCTTTGCGTGGAACCACATCCCTTCGCAGCTGTGAACACCAGTGACCGGGTCCACAACTCCTCGACTATGGTTGACAACTTGATGAGGAAACCCGTGGTGTTGCAGGGCGTTATAACCTTTCCACTTGTCGGTGAGAATAGTTGTACCCGGTAGAACGTGCTCCTTGAAGAAAGAGGCATTTGTCGATCGCACTTCTACAGAAAAAGGTGCATTACAGAAGCAGCACTCGTGGACAGACAATCCTTTGAGAGCTCGTTCCTGCAGCTACGTAAAGTAACGCTCCAAACCCTATACCCAGCGGCGAAAGATATTTGTAACAGAAAACATAGAGACTTAACACGCCTCTATGCTCAAGGAAACGCCTTGAAGCCTAAAACTCGTTTTTAAGATATTTGTTTTATTCTATATTCTATATATGACTGCTTGTCAAGTCACGTAATAGTCACGTAGTAGTCAATTTGTAGTCAGTTTAATAATCTATTAGAAGGGAACCATCTCATTTGTTATACAGTCCAGATAATCTACGCAAGAAATCCTTGATTTTTTTTGAGGCCGAGGGAAGCCAACCAAATTCCCTTAGAGGAGCAATAAAGGTTATAGATTTATATATTATGTACTATAGTGTAACCCGGCCTTCGGCCGGGATTTCACTGCCGCAGGGTAGGAGTAATTACCCGCTGAGTCAAAACCCGCATTAGGTGACCCAATAGTTTCTTAAACAATAATCTCATAATCAGTTATTTGTTGTGGATAATTAAGTCATTATTAGCCATAACCCTTAAACAGCGAAGAGCACTCCATCTGGAGTGCCCCTCCAATGTTTTGCCATTTGTGTTCCACATGTAGTAGCAATACCGGTTATACGCCAGCTATCTATCGGCAAGAACACTACCTGTCGCCTGGACTATCTGTTTTTTGCAAAAATTACAAACAAATATAGTTATGGTTAATTATTAGTTAAAAAAAGGACAAAAATTGCATTAAATATGTCTAGCGGAGAGCCGTCCAGCTGGACGACTAGGTATATGTTACTTTAAAGTGATCTGATTGGTAAGTAAACACCACGTGGACAGCAAATCACATGTCATGTCACGAAGCGCTTTGCAATCCAATCGGAGGAGCTTCAAATAACTCAATTATTGAGTTGCGCCTTTGAGCGAATGCTTGCTAGTATATAAACCAATGAGAGCGCCGGATTCTCTCTTGTGACTGATATTAACGAATCACGAAACCGGATCAAAATATTCGTTAATTTGTAGATGATTTATAAATTAGATTTATGCAGTTTCTTCCTGTATTTGACTTCCTATGAAGAAGCCCCGTTACTGTGAATGTTATATCGACCGCACTCCTTCAGTGTGATTCGTAATTTGTATTCATAGCTGGCATAATTTCGGCAGATGCTTTCATTTGATGTCGTTTTTTTGCAAATTTTCGAACAACAAAAATATTCTAAGATTTGAAACATAGTGCAATCAATTTGAAATACATTTTCTGTTTCAGAGTTGCGGCGCTGCACTTACATTCTCCTTTACACTTATAGACAAGGAAGTTGGTATTCAAGTGAATTAGTACAGCTACAGATAAGTTCAAATCGACAGCAAAAATAAAATCCATTTATCTTGTGTGTTGTAATCTTATTTACGTTCAAAGATGCAGATACTTTGACAAACTTTTTACATAGTTCACTAATAATAGACTGAGGTAGTATTATGTCATTCCTATTCCTTATCAAATTATCACAGTTCAAAGAGCACCATAGACTCTTGGAGACGGAAGTCTGGAAGAGTACGTCATCATATTCCAAATGGCTACGCCTAAGAGACGTATAAAAGAGCTTGAGATGGGCCACAAAAAATATTAACTCAAACTGGTTGGTACTTTGTTTTATTTTATTAGTCGCTTAAAATTGTTGATAACATGAACGACGTAGTAAGAATTTCGACAAGAAACCAATCTTCGACCAAGACCAGAAGGAACCCTTGTAATAGTGAAGGCGTCGTATTTTGATGCCAGCAGTAGCAAGGTTTTTTTTGTTACTACTTACCCTTTCTATTTCACTACTGTCTTTGCAATCTTGATGAAAGAAAGCTCATAAATAAAACCTTACATGCATTTTATCCCCAGACTCGCCCTGAAGACAAATATAGTTCTCAGTTCCCTAATTTGGGGGATCAGAATTTGTATGGCATCATAAAAGTAGCACACAAGAAGCAGAGTAGGATCTACTTTTATGATGACGACCTCTCCAGTTCCGTGATCAATTCTGTGATGATTATACCAGACGATCAAGAAACGGTGGTAAGTTACAATTTACAATTATATTAGCGAAAAGCACTTTGAATTATTTCCTGAGTGATATTCAACGGCCAGTTTAGTTATTAATAATCTGAAAGGAGTCTAACCAGATTGTGACCATAATTAATGTTATACCTACGTACGTATGTCGTTTAACTCGAACTTGGTAGATTTGATATAAGTTATTATATGCATTATAATATATAGGTGTTAAAAGACGGAACAACATTTTTGAAAAACACTGCCCTCATTCCGAAAAACCAAGCTCCTACTATCAAGAACGACGAGACTGTTCTTGCCACAAGTGATGAAGCTTTACCCGGCCCTAGCTCAGTGGAGTCACCTTTCGAGTTCGATGGAACTAAAAGGTTAAAGATTCACAACATGAGTAAGAGTGGGAAACGACGTAAAGTAGTGGAAAAGGTGAGTTTCGCATTATGTGAGTTAATTATTAGCCATCCACCGGTTTATAACATTCATCCTTTTGATGTAGTCAAGAAAAAAAACTAGGAAATCAAATTTTAGTTGTTTATTTTCTTATGTGACTATCGTGATCATCAGCTGACAACTTTTCAATTTGCAACCATGTACAACTACAATATGTTTATCAGGAGGATGTTTTTATCCTGAAAGGAGTAAGAAATTCGAGCGAAACTGAGGTGATAGTACCACAGGCGTTCGACATGAACTGGAGAGATGAAGAAGGAGACCATGACATTGAGGTATAAAAATCACATCGTTAAACCCAATCATAAATCAGATATCTCTGTTTGAAAGCCATGATCATGTTCTATAAACAGTTATTCAATTAAATGACAGCGTACTAATTTCCGTTAGATTATAGACAGTGCAGTATGTGACCAAACCTCGGAAGCCGCTGAAGTTCGGGACCTACAACTTGGTAACAGTGGTCAGAACGACAATGACGAGAGCGAGGTAATTCTCCATACTTACTACAATAGTTCAGATTTTGTCTTGAGGATCGCAATTTAAAAATGATTCTAAAAGGTCTTGGTTATCGCTTCTTTCTAAGAAATAATCGCCATCCTGACTGTACAATGTACCTACTTTACTTTCAGGACGATTTCGAAGAGATTGTAACCAGAGCAGATATCGAGGGTTCTTCCTCAGAAGAGGACGAGTCTTACGATATTGCCGTGAGAAAGGAACTAAAATATGGCCTTCCTCTACGGAAAAGGAAAGTGTGCAACCTGGCTGCTGCTCTGGACACAGTAAACTATACTGTTCAGCCAGTACCAATCACTGAGAAAGTTGTCAAGGGAATCTTGAATTCAAAAAAACCCCGCTGATGACTTAACATTTACCTCAAAGGTTCCAACAGCTGGTATGTTATCACTCCTTTTCCTAAAAATTATAAATAAAGTTATAAAAGGAAACGATTTGGAACCATTTATGATGTGAGCAGCTCGCAGTGAATTCAGCGCACCATATACGCATCGATTTTGATTGATTTTGGAACTTTTGCTTTCAAATTTTCATTTAAGAATACATTTCATTCAGAAACGAAGAAAAACAAGAAGGCGGACATAATGACAGTCAAACCTGGTCTTACTGCGAGAACGAAAATCCTCAAAACGCCACGTCAAGCTTTTGATTATTTTTTGACTCAAAGTTTGAAGGATGATGTTATCAGGTGTTTGTCCCAACAAAGTAAAACATTACTCTTCTCTGACATTGGACAGATCTTCGCACACCCTTCAACCATCGGAGACCTAGGAAGGTTCCTTACCAAAGCTCATGAACGAAGATTCCCTAAAGCGTCCTCCAAACAAATTCCTAACATTAACAATATTGCCAAATTATAATCTATGACTCGGAACACTTTCAGAAAAGTCCAGTTAAATTATTAAGTATTTTGAATCTCACTCTTAAGATTTACAGGGTTCATTGTATATATTATATATTTTATGACTTTTGGGTAAATTTAATTTTTTATATCTGGTCAGACATTACCATTGTAATTTGACTTTTGAATCGTTTAATCCGTTTAATCCGTTTAATCAGGTCAACTAATGAAAGGATAGAGCTTTATCAGGAAAAAAGGATTCGTAATGGGAAAGCTCTACGATCCGAACATTGCCTGATATTAGACTCAAAAGAATTCGATGCTTTTGTTGGAATCCAAGTTTACAGGTACATGCTACATAATTGTTTTATGTTTAATGTTTACAGGTTTCATATTTGGTGAGAGCCAAAAACGATTTTGTTCAATGTAATGTGATTTTGTTCAATGTAATGTGATTGAATGAATAATCGTATTTCTATATAAAAAGTTTAGAAATAATATGTCTTCGTGGGACTCATGTTTACGTGTTAAATATAACTAATATGTTGTATTTACCTTTGATAAATATGTTATATGATTTAATTGTTACATGTTACATAATATAATATAGTTATACCTTATCGGACGTTATTTGACCGGAGATTGCGTGAAGAAACGCGAACGACATAATTTTAATGGACATACAAATATAGTATATACAATATAAGGCCTCTAGACTTAGTCCAATAAATATTTGTTCAAATAAAGTCTGATAAGGTAAATTATGTGTAATACAGTAGATCTAATTTCACAGGGGAATGATGGGACAATCGTTTACCACGCTGGATAGAGTATTCTCAACACATGGAATACCGGCCATCTACTGTACTATGTCGAGGGATCGATTTAAGTTTCTGTTGAAAAACCTTAACTTCGACGAAGCACCAGACAGAAAGAGTAGAGAACATCGCCGCAAAAAAGATAGGATGGCAGCGATGCGAGATGTCTTTGAAGCGATCAACAGAAGATGGGCTTCTGGTCTTATGCCATCTGAGTACGTGACGATAGACGAAACACTATACTCCTCCAGAAATAGGGTGAATATAACTTATATTTTAAGTGGTAACAAAAATAGGCAAACTCCAATATTTATATGATAACAATTTGTTTAGTTATTACAGGACATACGTATAACTACAAACAGCTTAATTTTTATATATAACATTAAAATTGTTAATATTTATAACTCCAAACTATGACGATAGTTTATAGAATAGCGTGAAAGTTTTTTGGTAGTAATTCTTTAGGTTACCCTGGGCCGTAAAAGTTTACTAAATCACTTAAATCTACTATCAATCAAACATATACGATAGTTTAAAGGCTTAATCTTGTGACCCTTCTTTTTTTAGGCCCCGTTTATTGTGTACAACAAATCCAAGCCAGCCAAGTATGGTTTGAATTTTAAGTCACTAAACAGCGTGGCGTTTACCTACACTCATCGTTTCCACCTGTACGCTTCCAAGCCAGAAGACATAGAGAACGCAACTGAGCACTACCTGACAGAGACGAGTGCATATGTTATTTACCTTCTTGATCATCTGATAGAAGAGAGCAATACCCCAGGTTCATAAAATTGTTTTGTTTGATGTGAAATTTTTAGCTGTATCACAAATAAAATCTTGACACACTAATTATTCTAATTTTTATGGTAATGCTATTTCAGCTATAATCAAGGGTCGCAATCTGACTTGCGACAGACTGTATACGGACGCTATTTTGGTGAAAGAGCTTCTGTCTAACTATCAGTTGACCTTTTTGGGAACTTGGCAGAACTCTAGATAAGGATTTCCGAAGGAGCTCAAAGACTTTTCAACAAGAGATGCTCCTTCGACTGAAATTTTCTATGAGAAGGATGGACCTCTCAGGATTGTTTCCTACGTTTCGAGAGGAAAGAAGAAGAGAGGCCAACCTACCAAATACAATAAGTCCAAGTTGACAACCTTTCTGACAACTCTAGAACCCTTCCACGGTAACTAATAATATTTCCACAATCTCTGTACGTGACTTTAGAAAACTTTAGAAGACTTTAGAAACTGTGAAATGTTTTCATTGAATTAGTTTAGTGTCCAATAATGATATTTTTTTACATCAAGGATATAGTTACTAAACCAGTGCTATTTAATTTTAAAGGAGTAACAGAAGACGATAACAAAGAGAAGCCGCAGATCGGAAAGCTGTACGACCTCACTAAGTACGGAACTGATTTGATGGATCAGAGGATAGGGTTACTTTAATTTCCACTAAAAATCCTATTATAAAAGTAGTGTATGAATTATGTGTAGTATATTATAGTATTACTCGAGTAGTACTAATAATAATAATATCTGAACATTTTAGAAATCTTTCACAAAATGTGAACAAATATTCTCGTTTCAGTGGATACAGTACCAAGGCCAAATCAAACAAGTGGAAGCACTGTGTCTGGTACTATATACTGGACACAACACGAGTAAACAGCCACACTGTCGTGCAGCTCAGCAATCCATCTGAGTGGGGTAAAACGATGTACGCTGACTAGCCTTCAGGTGGAAAAAGTCATCCTTTGACTTTGGGTTAGATTTAGGGTTATCCCTGATGAAACCATGGCTTAACGAAAAGCCCATCATTGGACTGAGAGCGCATGTCCTTACAGCAGCCTTCAATATAACGGGGAATACTAAATTTCGGAGGACAGCCGAAGTCCCCAACGCCAACAACATGATTAGTTTCCCCAAGAAGGTTGAAAACAAGAGGCAGTGTCGTGACTGCCTCTTGAACTGTAAGGGCAAAGACTATAAACAAAATAGCAAAAAGGTTTCAGCTGTTTATAGCATGTGTGAACTGTGTGGTGAGAGGATTTGCCATAAACATCACATGGTGCAGATGTGCATCTCCTCTTGCTTTATGAAACTTGCTAATGAATCACGATCCTAGTTGTGCAATCAGTCTCAAATCTTCAACTCGCGATTTAGGGTCTTTTGAATTTATCCATGTTTAACAATCAAGTTTTCTTTGCAAAAACCGACAGAAATGGGCTACAATTATTACAAAAGTTCGGCAAATAAATCCATGTATTGACACAACCAGGGTTGCGAAATATGTTTATTAGTTTATTATTTATTTTATCATTGAGATTCTTTGAAATTATGATCGCTTGTTTTTGTAGCATATAATGTTGTTTTGTTTCTTATCAAGTTATCAGTCGAAATTAACACAGTTATAAATATCGTGTGCACGATCCATTATTGCTGCATATTTCTAAATTTCAAACTATGATGAAATGAGCCGATTATAAAATAATAGGACGGAATTGTTGCCGTTGATTTAGCCTGTGGCATATTCACAACATTTATTTACTAAGATACCAGGTAAAAGTTATTTTATTTTTCAAACCTCACATCCTCATGGCTAAAATAAGACCAAGCTCTGCAATAAAGCAATAAGAAAGAATGGAGCTTTGTACCTCAATTCTCGATACTAAATTTCACTCGCCTTGGTTATGGTAGAGTATGTTTGCGCTAAATGAAATTAGTTAGCGCTAGTTTTAGATGGGTGCGCTTTTCTATTCTCCATATAGTTAGCGGTAGCTACCAGTACCACAAACTGTCAACATTGAACATGGGATTTTGCGATATTTATCGTTAGCTAACCCGAACCGGCGTTAGTGAGCGCTTTTGTCAGTAAATTAGAACTAGAAGGTGCTAGTTAGTGCTATCATTAGCGTTAGCTAGCTCAACGTAACAGTATAGTAAGTAAGTGGCAGTAGAAAGTAAATAGCAATAAGCAAGTAAATTATTATTGCAGCCATACTCATAGTTAAATGAAGCACAGTAGTGCCGTTACCGTAAGCGCTAACTAGCGCAAGTAATGCTAATTTACAGTTACAGTGTTACACTTCCTACTGCTAGCGCTAATGAGCGTCAAGCGCCGGCTACTGCTAGTGCTACTGCTAGCGGCAGCGCTAATGAGCGTCAAGCACCGGCTACTGCTACCATGCTAGCGGCAGCGCTAATGAGCGTCAAGCGCCGGCTACTGCTACCATGCTAGCGGCAGCGCTAATGAGCGTCAAGCGCCAGCTAGTGCTACTGCTACTGCTAGCGACAGCGCTAATGAGCGTCAAGCACCGGCTACTGCTACTGCTAGCGCCAACGGGCGTTGGGCGCCGGCTATACTGCTGCTGCTAGCGCTAACGAGCGCCGGCTACTGCTACTGCTAGCGCTAACGAGCATCGGGCGCCAGCTACTGCTACTGATACTGATAGCGCTAACGAGCGTCGGGCGCCGGCTACTGCTATAAATGCTAGCGCAAAGAGCGCTGGCTGCTGCTAGCGCTAACGAGCACTGGCTGCTGCAACTGCTAGTGCTAGCACAAAGAGCGCTGGCTGCTGCTACTGTTAGCGCTAACGAGCGCTGGCTGCTACTACTGCTAGCGCTGGCTGCTGCCACTGCTACTGCTAGCCCTGCCCCTAGCCATTTTGCTTTGTTGTTACCACTACACTTTTAGTATTACCATTACAAGAAACAAATCATTCATTGAAATGATGATAACAATGAGAATAAATTGATGACGATAATTCACCAAAATATTTTTACTGAACACTTTTGTCATCCTGTGTTTCAATTTGTAAAACAGTATAAATTCAATTTCTGGATACTGTGAGTCCAGCTGCAAGCTGACGGTACACCTGTGTGTGACTAGGCAAAGATTTTTCATTTTACCGATAGCGAAGGTAAATTTCGGTAAGCAAAATTAAAAGTTAGTCACTGTAAGGCTTTTTCAGCTTCATTAATGAACCTATAGGACAAACGAGCTGTATATTCAAGCTTTGAAAAGGGGAAACAAAACTTTTTATAATAAAAAACCTCGTATTTTTATTACGGGTAAACCGCCCCTAAAACGTCACCTGTTTTTTGGGCCCAGATTTCCGAGTTAGGGCTAAATTTACAGGGTTCTGAAGTGTCTAGGAATAATATTTAAACCTTTTTCTAGCCTGCCAGGAAGATTTGGAAATTTGAAAATAAAATCAGGTACAATTTTTTTGACGTTGAAATGGAGTCACTTTTAAAACACCACCCCTAAAATGTCAACTCAATATGTGTGATAATTACAAAATGTACAGGAGGCCTGATTTATCTTTTGTCACTAGTACTATTTGTTTTGTCTTATTAAAACATTAAGCTACTTGAAAACATTCACTCACTAAAGGAAGTACCTCAAAACTGTAATCACCCCCTAAAATGTCACGTGCACCACCCCTAAAACGTCAGCTAAAACAGGTTGTGTAGCACTCAGAATGTTGCTCAATTATTAATTTTAACCACTTCTGGGACAAATATAACCTATATTTGAGAGGTGTCGACCAGAATTTCTCTCTCTGTTGAAAAAAAATGGTGGAATTTAGTCAATTTACTTTTTGTGACATTTTGGGGACTTTTTTTAAATACCCAGAACTTACGGAAATACAGTAACTCAGTCAACAAAATTAACACCTGTAGTTAGATCATCTAGTTATTAACCAACAATTGGCACAAAAGAAATGGATTCAATGTGATTTTAACCTTGTGCAAATTGCATGTTTTAATTGCATTTTTTGGGATTTTTAACATCATCCTGCATTTTGGCAATTTTAGTGACCTGTAGTTAACTAATCCAACCCAGTAATCGATCTGACCTTCTCTATAGACTAGATTTGACTGCTTTTAGCAAAATTGAATGTCAAAAACTACGGTTTTTGGTACTTACTAGTTTATGGTAAACCTATGATATGACCCCTAAAATGTCATTTTTTCTCCCCCAAAATGTCAAATTTGTATTTTGTTCGCATGGTGTGCGATAATAGCTCTTGTTTTGGCAATTGTTAATTATTAACATCAACTATTAACGAAATGTGAGTATGCATTGCATCTTAGGAAAAGCCTGGGTAATTTGATCATGTTAAAATGACATTTTAGGGGGGATAATTAGACATTTTAGGGGATGTTTATTGCAATTAATAAAATAAAACTAATTCCTTGAGCTGCCAAAGCTTTCTAATATTACCATTAGATGCTAAATATGATGTTTAATAGGCTGGTACCTCCATTTTATGGTGCTTGTAGTCTTAAAGCCAGAATCTGATAAAATGACATTTTAGGGGGCGGCCAGGTGACATTTTAGGGGAGGGTAGTAATATTGAGTAATGTATAACTTTCCATATCTCCAGTCATATGTACAAAGTTGCTAAAATATGTAAATATCACTATCCTAGACCAAAAGTGAGTTAATATTAATGACTTCCAGAGTTATAAAATTGTGCGCTTTTTTTCAAAAGTAAAAAATTCGTACAAAGTGAAAAAAATGCCCTTATGACATCATTTAGATTCAATTTCAGGATGTGGCAGGGTCTGAATGATATTTTTTTATGTTTAGGAGTTACAAATGATTAGGTAAGATACTTTCTAAGAAGATGGGATCTAATCAATCAAGAGTGGCGTTTTAGGGGTGGGTGACATTTTAGGGGCGGTTTACCCGTACCTAATTTCGACAGTTTTAGTCAAAATATAAATTCATAATCATAGTTCCAATAAAATCATAGTCATAGATCAAGATATGATTTACGGAGACATGAACATAAATATACAAAGTTGATGTCTTATATGCCTGTTGCTAGTGACTTTACTGAAATGTTTCTCCAACTGACCAACGTATGTTGTGTTTTCTTTCCCCTCGGTTATAGTTATACTTAATATTATATACGGAGATTCATCACAATTTTATCAACAAACATTACACAAGTGTCACCTGGAACATACTACACAGAATACACAGTTATATGAGTAACATGCTTATTACGTTAACACAGCTTAACTTTAAAGTACACCGTGCCAAGGCCCTGATGTTTAGTACACTTTTGACACATATCGAATCTTCAATTATAAAGTAAAACCGATGAAAGACTAAGTTTTATTTCAAGATGGTCACTTTCTAGGATTCCAAATTGAACTACACAGCTAGATTTAAATTTATCCGAGCCAACCTTAGAAAAGTGTAACCGCTTACACGGGCATAATTGAGTTATTGATACTAAAGTAGCTCTACTTTTGCAGGATATAATGATGATCTAATTTGATGAACAGCGCCCAAGCTTTAGATATTAGCGGGAAAATTATTACGTTATTTCATGACACGGGACCAAAAATCTTACCACGTGACCCAAAGGATCGATATCCAAATTGTATGTCACGTGGGGGCCGTCCATATGGAGTGCTCTTCGCCGTTAACAAGCACATATTTGCTTCGCTGTTTAAGCGAAGGTTAAGCGAAGGTTTTTTGAGGCCGAGGGAAGCCAACCAAATTCCCTTAGAGGAGCAATAAAGGTTATAGATTTATATATTATGTACTATAGTGTAACCCGGCCTTCGGCCGGGATTTCACTGCCGCAGGGTAGGAGTAATTACCCGCTGAGTCAAAACCCGCATTAGGTGACCCAATAGTTTCTTAAACAATAACCTCATAATCAGTTATTTGTTGTGGATAATTCAGTAATTATTAGCCATAAGGCACCACATTCCATGATCATAAGGTCTGAACACCGACTATTACACCTCATCACTCCCGTCTTGAACCGCTTTCCATTTTTATTTAAATCGTTATAGAAATTGACCCTAGTTAACTCCGCACCACACCCGCCTATTACACACGCATAACATTGTCGTATGAACTCTCTCTCTCTCTCTCTCTCTCTCTCTCTCTCTCTCTCTCTCTCTCTCTCTCTCTCTCTCTCTCTCTCTCTCTCTCTCTCTCTCTCTCTCTCTCTCTCTCTCTCTCTCTCTCTCTCTCTCTCTCTCTCTCTCTCTCTCTCTCTCTCTCTCTCTCTCTCTCTCTCTCTCTCTCTCTCTCTCTCTCTCTCTCTCTCTCTCTCTCTCTCTCTCTCTCTCTCTCTCTCTCTCTCTCTCTCTCTCTCTCTCTCTCTCTCTCTCTCTCTCTCTCTCTCTCTCTCTCTCTCTCTCTCTCTCTCTCTCTCTCTCTCTCTCTCTCTCTCTCTCTCTCTCTCTCTCTCTCTCTCTCTCTCTCTCTCTCTCTCTCTCTCTCTCTCTCTCTCTCTCTCTCTCTCTCTCTCTCTCTCTCTCTCTCTCTCTCTCTCTCTCTCTCTCTCTCTCTCTCTCTCTCTCTCTCTCTCTCTCTCTCTCTCTCTCTCTCTCTCTCTCTCCCTCTCTCCTCTCTCTCTCTCTCTCTCTCTCTCTCTCTCTCTCTCTCTCTCTCTAGATCTCTCTCTCTCTCTCTGCAGTCCAAACAGACCCCAAACACTAACAGTCCCCCTCCCCTAATAAGCTTAAGGTATAACATTACAGCGAATCTCCCGGGCTAATCCAATTATGACGCTACTTAAATGCAGCTATAACATATTATACAGTAACTAGAAAGCCCGTGGTAACAGGGACGAAGCTAGTACTTAGTAGTATTCTTTGAAAGAAAGTTTTTATTGCATCAAAAAATATCCATCCCAACCGAAGATACAGCCGATTTAAATATAAACACTTTAAACACAACGTAATTACCACAAAACCGATCAAAATGACGTTAAAACAATCTTTGCACGTGCATGTGTGCATTAAAACACCGTTGCTATGGAACGTTTTGGTTGTTACCTAAATTCCTATTTCTCATATAATTTGCACGTGGACAGACATACAAAAATAATTCTTTGAATTATAGTATACTAGAAAGCCCGTGGTCACAGGGAGGACGCTAATAGTATTCTTTGGTAGTCAGTTTTCATAGCATCAACAAATATCCGTCACAACCGAAGATACAGCCAATTAAAATGTAGCTCGTACTAAACACAGCGTAATATCAACAAAACCGATCAAAATGACGTTAAAACAATCATTGCACGTGCACGTAAAAACCCTCGTTACCATGGTTACTTTGCAACTTCATATTTCTCATATATTTGCACGTGGGCGGTCGTACAGACAGCAGAAATAATTCTTTGAATTATAGTAGAGATATAATTATCCACAACAAATAACTGATTATGAGATTATTGTTTAAGAAACTATTGTATTGGGTCACCTAATGCAGGTTTTGACTCAGCGGGTAATTACTCCTACCCTCAGCGGGTAATTACTCCTACCCTTTAACTGCGGCAGTGAAATCCCGGCCGAAGGCCGGGTTACACTAGTAACATATTATACAGTAATGAGAGAGAGAAAGAGCAAGCCCCGTAACTCTGGCCGTTCTGCTCAAGCCATTTTATGTAACATTTGTGGTACAAAACCATCAATTAAACCACTTACCACCGGCCGATTTCAAAAAAAATTCTTATGGGCTTCATCAGAGTTTTGTCGGCACTATACCGAAAAAACCAGTCCCGTAACTCTTACCGCTTTTTTTGTATAACCGACCGGAAATTACACACAGACGATCAGACAGACAGACAGACACACACACACACACACACACACACACACATTCTGGTGTTATTAAGGTGATATCATATATACCCCCATTTCCCCTGTATTTGCACCCATAGATAATTCAATAGTTACTGAATAATAACTAAATTATGCAATATTCGTGATAACTGTTGTGACTTGTTAAATAATTTTTGAATTTGAAACTCTGATTTACGCTTAAATCGATTTTTGCTAACCTAAAAATTCCTTCCCCAAAGTAGTGGATAAATAATCTTTGTAGCCTGTAGAATTACATAATATTGAGAGTGAAGTAGTAACATTATCTGGCATATTTGTAATTATGCTTAACGTATTTAAACGATTCGCATAAAAGTATAGTCCAGTTGGAACCTATCAGCGTATCAGAGTTAGCTGGAAATGAATGGTAGGTTGATACTTTGTCTAACTGAGCCAATGGCTGATCATGATTTTGTCACAATTTATCGAAAACTGTTCTATAGAATCATGCTGCTCAGAAAACATCAAATAGGCTTCATTTAGTGGACCGTTCCTAAAATCGCCAAAGTGGTAAACACCCCCTGAAATAACTGGTCAGCCCTCTGATTGGTACATGTGACTTCAAAGTAGCTGTCCATTTAGGGAAGCCCATTAGCCCGTTTAAGTTTTTGACGGAAATCACGCCTGTGATTATTGATTAATAAAGGGGTAACATCCGAGGGTAGGAATGATCAACGACCACTTCGGGTCCGCGACTCTACGGCGTGCCGCGTGAGACGTTATGAAATGTAATAGAGGCTCACCACGTAGAGTATCACTATCAGGCCGTAGAGTCCGGACTCAACAACTTCATGACGTGTGCATTGGGAGCATCCAGGATACCATTTACCCAATGAAGATACGTGAGCTCAATTAGTTGAGTGTATATTGGGTCGTGATATACACTACATTTAATATGCTGCTAAAAGCTTTATTTTGAATGCACTTTTTGTAACTCATTTCACAATATTTCACAATATTTCACAATATTTCACAATATTTCACAATATTTCACAATATTTCACAATATTTCACAATATTTCTCAATATATCACAATATTTCACGATATTTCACAATATTTCACGATATTTCACAATATTTTACAATATTTCACAATATTTCACAATATTTCACAATATTTCACAATATTTCCCTTACTGTGCTCGGACTATTCACACTGAGACTAAGTTCGTACCCCAACTGTGCCTGCCCTAAACACACACCAACTCATCTTCAACCGACGTCCGACAGATCACCAAATAACCGATCAAAAAGTTAAACGGGGGCCACTCGAACGAACTCCGATGCAACAATAAGACAACATTAAGACAACAATAAGACAACAATAAGACAACAATAAGACAACAATAAGACAACAATAAGACAACAATAAGACAACATTAAGACAACATTAAGACAACATTAAGACAACAAACACCGATAAGACAACAAAATATGATAAAATATTAAGACAACATAAAGACAACATTAAGACAACAAATTCATTTAAAACAACATTAAGACAACAAACTCGTTTAAGACTATATTATTGTTGTCTTATTGTTGTCTTAATGTTGTCTTATTGTTGTCTTAATGTTTGCTTTAATGTTGCCTTAATTGTTGTCTTAATGTTGTCTTAACGTTGTCTTATCGTTTATTGTTGTCTTAATGTTGTCTTATTGTTGTTTTATTGTTGCATCGGTGTTCGTTCAAGTGGCCATTAAGGCTGTAGAACGTTTTCAACAGCAGTACAGCAATTACACATAAGATGAGAAGTACAGACAAGTCATACTTTTCAATTCGACGCTGCCATACCTACGTACTTTTAATTTTTTATTGAAAAGTATACTGACCCAAAAAAACCATACGCGAGAGAAAAATTTTGAAAAACATTGCGTCCAATATTTCATATTACCGTACAAAAATTTAAATGTTATAAAATATTGGTACAAAAAGTACGTGATACTAGTCGTATTTTTCAATTTACGTATTTAATACGTACTTTACGTATCCATACTTCTCATCTAAGAATTACACTAAAGAGGCATCTGTTCCAAGAAAGAGGACCCAGTGAACACAGTATTCTCCACCGCTCACCAACCGACAACGCCAAAAGATCTGTTTTAGCTTTAGTATTTTGAGGCATTCGACATGGCCATCACTACTATCACTGCACTAATCGGTTTGACCAGGATGGCTTTACGCTTCATTTAAGTATGGAAATGATGCAAGTATTTCACAGAGACTTCTCCTGAGAAATGTATGATATAGTCCTGCGGGTACATTATTGGACATTCCAGCTACCTCTGCTTTATAGAAAGCAACGTACAACAATTCCACTGCTCTGTTATTTTCCTAAATACCATGTCTCCTAATCACCCAGGGACTCATGAAATTGCAGTCAATAGTCAGAGGGGTGCCCACTTTACAACCCAAGAGATGGCCACTCAATCAATGAACACGTATATAAAGGATCTTTAAACATTGAATTATATCATTTCAATCGGTCGCTCGCTAAAGCCGCCGTATCATTCGGTAATATGCGATGCTATGCCAATTGTCCCTACTCTCAGACGTCAGTAAGTCAGTATATGACAAACCTTTTCCCTTAACTAGAACTTAACCATTATTTATCTCTCAAGACTGCTGATAGTGATAATCTTACCTCTGGTACAGACGCACATGCCACAGTCAGACTCTACCTCGAATCCTACAGGAACTATTATAGTGTCCTGACCCGGTCTTCTCAGAGGTGGACAGATCTCTCTACCCTGCAATGATTTTGTAGTTTAGTACAGTGAATAATTAGGTGAGAATAGAGAGCTCTTTTCATTACAATATAACTACCGTTTACTAAACCCTGATTTACCAACTACATTTTCTATTCATCTAATCTAGAAATAGGGTAACATATCAAAAACGTATTAAAATTATATACCAACTACTTCTAGTTAAATCAAAATTGTTAACTAAATGTACGCCCTTTTTTAAAAACAACTTGTACTAATATAAGTTGATCTCCAGAATACAATACTTTTACCTGTTCGTCAATCTCTGTAACGCTGCTGCTCATGGGTGCGGGGGCTGCCTGCACACCACATGACATGTGACACATGATCACCAGTAGGGACGCCATTAGCTTCTGTAGTTGTAGAGTCATTTCTCTTCCTGAGCACGATTGTTAGAAAGTTGTAGCGCTTATTTTATGGATCACTAGCACAATCTTACAATGGTCATTCAATTCAGAATTTGGCCACCAAATTTTTTTAAAGGCCTAAATAGGTCCTGAAACGATTCTGAATTAACTCTGAATATTTCAAATTTCGGATACTGAAAATGCAAAAGCCTTAGGTTTTTTTGATGAAGTCGCAAAAATCGCGAACTGAGATATGGGCAATTTTTAATTTTTTGTGTTCTCATGGCCTAAGTTTCCACATTTCTATAGATATTAAGCTATAAATCTCAGAGAATGTTTAGACTTACCTTTCATATAAACTTGATATGTATATAGTTTTAGGGAAGATAAATGGAGTAAATTATATCGAGAGGAAGAAACAGTTGGTTAAATATTTGCATAGTAATTCATGTTTCATCGTCGAATTATTCTTGATTTGATTTGATTTGTTTAACAATGTAGCATATGTTACCAATTCGGCTCGTTTCCTAAACTTGATTAACTAAGTGTGACCCTATTTTCATGTAGTTCTGCTATATTACCCGGAAGTTTCCTAGAAGTATAACATACACATCACAACAACATGTGACTCATAAATAATGTTCCTATGAGTGATCCGCTTTATAAAGAGACTTAGCTTAAAACCTGAGAACTTTGAGAGTCTACTTTTCCTAAAGTAAAATCTGCGGACACTGAACGGTAAACGAAGAACCCCTCCTCCTGAATTCTCATCACCCAACAGCCAGCAACTACCACCTCCAGTTATCTCCGATTTGATAATCAACGATGATGAGACATCCGCGATGTTGAGATCATGAGTGACAGTGTTGATTAATCGTTGCTGTCATTTTGATTGTGATTTTGGCCTCGTAATTATAATTACCTATATAATTTTACCTGCTTTCCATTTTTTTCAGCCATATGTGTTGTTTCACTTTCAACATCACCAATTTCAGTGATAAAATCTGTAAATTGAGGAACAAAATTTTCGAATATTTAAGCTGGAAATGGCAACTAAAAATAAAACATTATCAGGCAAAATCCCGGCAAAAATTCTCTAAAAAGCCGGGGCCGGGGCGGGATTAGGGTGAACTAACCGGGGCCGGGCCGGGATTTCAAAAACAAATTAACTGGGGCCGGGGAGAAAACACGAACCCCGGCCGTATCCGGGGCCGGGATCCCGGTCAAGCACTGGCTATATAATATATAGCACTATATCATATATTATGGATTACCTTATTTTTGATTTTATTAATACTTGGTGGGAAACGTCTTGCTAGAGGACTTTGTATTGTCCGTTTAAATAAAATCTGTTCATTCAATGTCCGTCCAAATCAAAGTCCATCCATTTGTTTATTGTATGCATAAGCATATTGGTACATTAAAACATATAATTTATAACATTTTGATTGTTCAGAAATTATTAATTAGCATTATCCTCTTATATAGTTATATCACAGTTACATATCTTTAACTATGTTAACGTTATTATGTTGACTTGTAGCTGAGCATATTGATAAATGATCATGAAAGGCATATTGTTTAATGTTTGCAGTATTAAAAATAAATCATTTAACGATCCACGAAAGTCCGTTCAAATTAAGTCCGATCTAAGGTAGCATTTGTACGGTAGAAAAAAAAATGCACAATTAGAATCAATAAACATAAGTTTTTGGCGGGGGGCCAAAAGTCAGTGTGCAAACGTTAAGACTTAGAGTTATACCATTACCTCCACCGTGTTTTATATTTGAGAGTTGTTGCTTTGCAAATGGCATACTGTACCATACTGTTCGAGGATTCCGTCGCCAAAATTTGAAAATTCAAATATTTTAGACCACGCCCATTCAATATTAAAACACCCACCTATATTGTTCTCTCTCAACATGCTGAACCGTCTCTTTTCAGACGGTAGATTATTAAATGGATTAGAAATGACGAAGTTATCAAGCGTTTTGTGTATCTACTATCTCGTTAACAAGTTTGACTGGGTGATTATGTGACACCGTGACACGACAACTTAATTGGAAATTCCTATAATGTTTAACGGGGTGGTTAAGGGGGCATACACCAAAACAGTGGTTTGTGCCGTCCAGACCAAATGACCTCATAGGCAGTTCAGTGACCTTCTAGCGCACCGTTTCGGTCACACCAAAAAAATTATTTTGAGAATAAATTTTTTTGTAATCGAGCATTTTCTGGTTAAGAGTGCAATTTTCGGAAAAAATAATTTTTTGGTTGAGAGGCTATAAGTTTATTATTTCTTGCGGTATCGAATTGAAATTTTGCCCGCCGTTTATTCAAATCTATTTCAAGGTGTGTGTAAAATCTTGATATCGTATCTAAAAAGGCTGGTGTGTTATGAATTTTTAAAGTCAAAAAGCTAAAATTGTCCTTTTCAGGCTTACTTTAACAAAAAGTCAGTCAGAGAAGATCGGATTGATTTGCCGCCTGACAACAAATTGTTCTTGAATTCTGGCGAAGTTTTTGATGCCCTAAAAAATGTTTTACTCATTTATCTTCAGATCTATTGGACCTCAAAGCCAAACAACAAATTTAGGCACATTTTTCGTTTTTAATATTTACTGATTTTTCTAAAATTTTGATAGGAATGTGCTAGTGACTTTTTTAGGGCGCAAAATAACAGCAACTAGCACATTTATATATGAGTTATGAACAGCAAAACATCCTAAAATGCTTCCCTTTGAAGTTATGGGAGAAAATGTGATTTTTTATCTGCAAAGCCAAGTACAACTACAATTTTAGCTTTTTGACTTTAAAAATTCATAACACACCAGCCTTTTTAGATACGATATCAAGATTTTACACACACCTTGAAATAGATTTGAATAAACGGCGAGCAAAATTTCAATCCGATACCGCAAGAAATAATAAACTTATAGCGTCTCAACCAACAAATTATTTTTTCCGAAAATTGCACTCTTAACCAGGAAATGCTCGATTACAAAAATTGGTATTCTCAAAATAATTTTTTTTGGTGTGGAAACGGTGCGCTAGAAGGTCACTGAACTGCACCTATGAGGTCATTTGGTCTGGACAGGTTTGTTGTATGCCCCTTAAGGGGGGTCATCTAATCACGTGATTAGGTAAACCAATCACCTGATCACACATAATGAATAAACTCGTCATCCGAGAAGCTACAACTCTAATTTTTTCAGGACAAACGTAATTCGAATGGCCAAACACAATTCAATAAACTTTAGCTCGATCCGATTATCCAAACTATCAAATAAATGCAATAAGTTACCTTCATTTGAAAAAAATTAACACGAATATTTTTCGATTTGTCAAATTCATCGGACCAGTGGTGGTAGTAAGTCATACCAGAAAGAATTATTTTAATTGGGCACTCAGCGACTGAGCTATTAAGGCCAACGTTTGCACACTGAATTTTGCCCCCCCCCCCCCCTCTGTAGTTAAACGAAATTATCATATACAATAAAAATACAAATAGTACATCCTGAAAGCAACAGTATTGACCCACAACAAGAAACTGCACCGTATGTACCGAGTAGAAGTAACTGGTGTGATGACGATTACAACAATTAGTAATTAGGGGGATTATCATTGTGGTGAAACCATCAAAATATTCTGTTATTACGTATCATGGCATTTAGTTTTTAGAAGACTTGCAAGCTTGGTGGAAGCCTTAGCCTAAGGCTACGGCCAAAAAAGATGTTCATATGAGTAAGATCTGTTAAACAGTAAAAATAAAGAACGGGAAAGATTTTGATTCCTTCGCGCCTGTAGTTAGAAATACTTAAATAGGGTTCTCAGTAATCAAGTAGAATCTTCCAAATGATACTGATCAAGGAAAAACGTGATCAAAAATTTCATTATTAAAATAAAGGTTTATTCCACACCCTTGCATTTCCGAAACTAAACTTATACTTTAATTTACTGTTACTCCGAAGTATCTAGACTGCTTTTAACCTCCTTAGCTGATATATTAAGCGGTTCCAGGCATACCTTTTCTCTGCTTGGCCGCCAGCACGGTGCTTAGCAACTGCACGGTGCTTAGCAACTGCAGTACATAGAGTCATGCTGAATCTAATGGTCAGTTACTTTAGCTACCAGCCGACGGACCCCGTTTTTATATCTAATGCTGATGACTATAGGGGGAGATGTTCCAATACCACTCACCCCGATCCTTCTAGATTCACCAAGGTCTCTCATAGGTCGTTTTGTAATAATGACTTGCACTCTGTATAAAAGATTCCCGTAACCCATTTAATACACAGGACATGAACCATTATACCCATCTAAAGAAGTCAAGATAGGCCCTCCTAAGTTCTCGCCCTCCCCCAATAAATAAGAAAAGGAGGACTCCCAACATAGCAGGAACTTCATACTCTTCGGCCCGTGGAGGGGCCCCGGTTTGTCCCTCCTTTCTATTATCTATATACCTTTATTATAATTTCTATTATTTACATATTGTTATTTTATATACCTAGTCGGTTCAGTGTGTTTTGGTCCGGGCTTTACCTGCTGGCCCTGCCATGGCTCTCTTATAGCTTGGGCAGGTTTGACTTATATATATATATATATGATACTGATCAGATATACGTCTCCTATAGTCCTCATTAATCAATTGCGTAACGTTTCCATTTGGTGACCCCCGCCCCCCCTCCGCTGAGCCTTTTTGGCGCACCTATACAATTTTTCCTGTCCTTAAAAATATATAACTTTTTTTTAAAAAGTCAGGTCTTTTTTAGCGCCCCTGGACTCTGGAGCTTTTTGTACCCCCAAATATTTTTTTGTGTCGAACAAACGTTGGCCGAGGTAAAGTATATTTTGCTGCCCCCCCCACCGAAAAAGCGCCCCCCTGTTGGCGCCCCCTCCCCTTTTGGCGCCCCTCAGTTAAATAATAAATTGGACAAATTAGGTGATTTTAGAGGATACGCCGGTAAAATCTCTAAAAAAAGTGTGTTTCTAGAGCAAAACGCGCAGTTTTGCTAGTACCTCAGTTAG